AATCTTTCTTTAAGACACACGCTCTATCTCTCTCTCTCTCCTTCCCTCTTTCTTTAAGACACGCTTTCTCTCTCTCTCTCTCTCTCTCTCTCTCTCTTCTCTCTCACTCTCCCTTCTCTCTCTCTCTATCTCTCTGTCTAAAATTAAAATCTACTTACATTATGCTGATTTGAACTGCATGCATTTTCCTTGCTCTCTTTAGACATCTTGGTTAAACCGTATTATGTGTCACATTGATTTAAAAAAAGTTGAAGGAAATGTATGTATAAAATAAGAATATTGAATTTAAATGTTACTATGGTCAAGGCATACAAATTAAAGGTTTATTTACACGAATTGCACACATAATCACAAATACGTACACAATTTTTTTCAAAATTACTTATTGGTGTGATTTTGTAAAAATCACTCTTTAGGAGTAAGTTTCGATTTTTTAACGTGAGTCATTTAATAAATGATTATATAAGTTGCTGGTTTCATATTCAATTACGTTAAATGTCATAATGGATAGATCAAATAAAATAGAAAATATTATAATAAATGAAATTAGTACAACAAAAAAAGAGTCGAAGGCGTAAAACTTTACGAGAAAGGAGTGATAAACGAAGTTAAAACGTTGAAGAGGAAGAGTGAAGGGAGAGAGAGAGAGAGAAGAGAGAGAGAGGGGGAAAGAGAGAGAGACGGTAGATATTTTACATTTTATAACTATAGGTATTTGTAATAAATAGGTATTTGTAATAAATAGGTATTTGTAATAAATTTAAATATTTGTAAATATTTTATACTTAATAATTACACTTTTATTACATTTTTCTTATATATATATAATAATTATTTCGTAGATATTCTAAATTCAATTATATAAAAATATATAAAATTATATAAAAATTATATAAAAAAATATATATATAAATAGAAAAATATATAAAATTATATAAAAAGGCTGCTGTGCGCCTGTAAAAAAGGCTGCTGCGCGCCTGTAAAAAAAGGCTGCTGTGCGCCTGTAAAAAAAAGGCTGCTGTGCGCCTGTAAAGAAAAGGCTGCTGTGCGCCTGTAAAAAAGGCTGCTGTGCGCCTGTAAAAAAAGGCTGCTGTGCGCCTGTAAAAAAGGCTGCGGTGCGCCTGTAAAAAAGGCTGCTGTGCGCCTATAAAAAAGGCTGCTGTGCGCCTGTAAAAAAGGCTGCGGTGTGCCTGTAAAATAAGATTGCTGTACGCCTATAAAGAAGGTTGCTGTGCGCCTATATAAAAAGACTGCTGTGTGCTTATACAAAGAATTAATATAAAACAGAATAAGCACGAAAAAGAAAAATTTCATCAAGAAAATCGATGAATTAATGAATAAATAATTCTTGGTCATACAGACAGATATAGATAGATAATATAAATATAATTATTACGGCAATATATTTATAATATACCTACGTATACGCCGTATACGGTACGACGCAGATAAGTATGCCTTAAAAGAGAAAAGGCGGAAATTTATATAAAATCAGTCGCAAAAGCAAGCGCTTACGACAATTACGAAAAATTGAGAGTTCGGAGGAAAGATCTCAACGACTTGAAGCTGATGCCCAAAGACATGCTCAGCAGAGGGCTCATGAAAATAATGACGCAAGGTCTCAACGACTCGAAGCTGATGCCCAAAGACATGCTCAGCAGAGGGTTCATGAAAATAATGACACAAGGTCTCAACGACTTGAAGCTGATGCTCAGAGACATGCTCAGGGAAGGCAACAAGCTAGACAATTAAATCATCATATTGCGCTAATTGCCAAGGACAATGAAATAAATGTGTCAGTTCATACACTTGGCCAAATGAATATAGAATGCCAATTTTGCAAATCGTTAAATTTTGAATGTGAAAAACCTGAAAATGGGAAATTTACATATTGTTGTCAAAAGAGTAAGCTTACATTAAAGTCAATAAATTGTCCTGATTTTATTAAAAAATTATACATGGGAAATGATTATGCATCGAAAAATTTCCTAAATAATATTCGTTCATATAATAGCGCTTTAGCTATGGCTTCTATGGGTGCCCCGGGCAATAGAAATCCATTGGATGTTGTGAACAATGCTCCTTATTGCTTGAAGATTCATGGGCAATATCATCATTTGACTTCGACAGCAATGCGCCCGGCGGATGGGCAAGCTCCGCGCTTTGCGCAGCTTTACTTTTTAGATACAGAAGAAGCTATAAATCATAGAATGAATAAGAAAGCTAATCAAGAGTGTGATTTTGAAATAATGAAAAATTTGTTGTTTGAAACGCATAATAGAAAACTACATGTGTAATAAAATATTATATCTTAAATAGAATATTCTAGAATATTCGCTTCCGATCGCAAATCAACAGGCATATCGTTTTTATATGTTTTTTTTTTTGGAAAACATATCGCGACACAAATTATCCTGTCGTACAAAAACACGCTCGAAATATAAACAATTAACGGTGTCGCAACCGTTCCGCCGAATAATTATATTTTATTGAGCATGCGCGGCTTCTCACGGGCGCCTCGTTTCGCCAATAATCATCGTGATCGCCAGCTCGCGCATGCTTTCTAACAGCCGTTGTTCTGTCAATTTTGACAGCGGCCAATTACGCGTAATACGCTCAGGTCACCTCGCGCAACTTTAAAAAGACGCAAAATTATTGGCGCTTCACACGAAGGTGGGTTCCGCTCCGGAAATTATAAAAGAGGAGCTCACACCCCGCTTGTGAGCTTTATCGCTTTTCCGTCGTGAAAACATATCGCAAACCGCTTATCAGATACACCGCAAAATTCGTTGACGACCGCCGCTATTCCGCACTTTGATTTTGATTCCGATTTCACTGTAAAATAATTAAAGTTTTGTAATAAGTTTGTTATAGTATTTTGTCAATACGTGTGTGATATTATTAAAGTCCTTGTTTTACAAAAAAGTGACTCATCCTTTCGTGCAGCGCGATCCTTTGCTCACGCAGCGCGTTCGTGAACATATTTCTGGTCCTTCGAGCCGGATCCGTCGCACCGGCAACCGCAAGTTCGCGAGCGTGACTTCTCGCGTGAGTGACAATAGTGCAGTTTCGTGTGCAGTCATCATGGATGTACCCACGCTGGTTGACTGTCAGCGTGAGCTTCAAGTCCGCATCTCACGTTCTGTGGAGTACTTGAAGAAGCTGGGCAGCTCCAATATCACCGCCAGTGCTATCTCCACACGCACCAGAATTCTGGATCAGCTGTGGACAAAGTTCGAGGCGCAGCATGACCTTATCCGTGCGGCCTTGAAGGAAAAGTTCAGTGAGAGCGAGTACTTTAAATCAGAGTTGCATGCTGATACGGAGAATCTCTACGTGTCACAAAGAAGCATACTAGACAGCTACGCTGAACACTTTCGTGCAGCAAACGTACCTCCTTCTGCCGACGCCACGTCAAGGTCATCACTGCCGCGTATCAAAGTGCCGCCATTTTCTGGTGCCTACGCCGATTGGCCGTCGTTCCGAGATCTCTTTCTCTCCGTCGTGAGTGGCAATGCGATCTCCAACATCGAGCGCTTTCACCACCTGCGCTCATGTCTGACGGGGCAAGCTGAAAGGTTAATAAGGTCATTGCCTGTCACCAGCGACAATTACGATCGCGCTTGGGCGATTCTGGACAAACACTACAACAACAAAAAGGAATTGATCCGCTCCAACTTCGCCACGTTCATCGCCGTGCCGAAGATGAAGGGAGATACCGCAGAAGAATTGAGACGCATTCACAACGCCGTTACTGCCGCCGTCAATGGCCAGGAGAGCATCGGACGTCCAATCAACACCCACGGAATGGACCTCTTCAACTTCCTGGTCACCGAGCTGTTTGATGCACGCACACGTCTTGAGTGGGAGTCGTCCACGTCAGACTCATCAGAGCCGGCACAAAACGAGGCACTTGTGGACTTCATCAGCCGCCGGATCCTGACGCTCAATGCCGCACGACCGAAGAGCGCCAGCAAACCGCCCGGAGATGCTCCACGGGTAGCCAAGGCACACGTCACGAAGCACCAAGGAACCGAGTCGCCGCACTGTGCACTGTGTCGCGAGAAGCACACCTTGATGACCTGCCGAGATTTCAAGGCCAAGACTGTCAACGACCGCAAGGCATTTGTCGAGAGTAACAGGCTCTGTTACAATTGCTTAGGCAACCATTTTCTCTCTCGCTGCCAGTCAAAGAAGAACTGTCTGACATGCGACGCACGACACCACACGATGTTACACGGAGCACCCACATCGTCAGCGTCAACTGAAGCCACACGCGCCACCACACTGACCGCTACGCTGCAAAATCCAGAGTGCAAGGCCGTTCTTCTTGCAACAGCACGAATAAACGTCGCCGATCGGTACGGATCACCACAAGCCGTACGCGCTTTGATCGACCAATGTTCTGAGGTGTCGATCATTTCGGAGACCTTGGCACAACGTCTTCGCCTTCCTCGAGTCTCAACGGGCCTCTCCATTTTCGGCATCGGAGGGACTCGCTCGGGATCCGCTCGTGGCAAGGTCACGCTGCACGTAACGTCAGACGTGACCAACGCCAAACTCAGCGTGGTGGCCTTTGTGCTGCCCCGCATATCGCTGCAGCAAGGCTCGGTTTCGCGGGAAGAACGCAGCTGGCCTCATCTCAACGGACTCCAACTGGCCGATCCTCGCTTCTTAGACGACGACCCAGCTGAGCTGCTACTGGGAGCCGAGGTCTATTCCTTGATCCTCGAGGAAGGCCTCCGCAAGGGTGAATCAAGGATGCCGATCGCTCAGCAAACCAGCCTGGGATGGATCCTTTCTGGCGGCTACGACGCAGCAGCAGTCACGGGACATCGCCGCACCTTCCGGTGCACCGCCGATCATGACCTCGCCGACTTCGTTCGACGCTTTGGGAGCAGGAGAGCGAGCCGATAACTCGGGCTTCACTCACTCCCGACGAGACCACGTGCGAGGAACTCTACGTGCGCACCGTCACGCGCACGCCCACCGGGAGATACATGGTGAGGCTGCCCTTCTCATCGCCGCCGACGACTCTTCAGGATACTCGCCGCCCAGCGGAGCACCTACTGAAAGCCATGGAGACCAAGGGCAGCCGAGATCTTCGATTTGGCGACCTCTATCACGGCTTCATGCAGGAATACGAGGACCTGCAACACATGAAGAAAGTAAATACCTCAACAACAACGGAGAATTTCAGATGCTACTTACCGCATCACGGGGTCCTGAAGGAATCGAGCACGACGACAAAGCTCCGAGTCGTGTTCAACGGCTCTCAGCGCACACGGGCCGGTACTTCGCTCAACTCGCAGCTGCTGACTGGGGCAAACCTTCTGCCAGCGCTCACCGACGTGTTGCTGCGATGGCGTTGGCACCGGTACGTCTTCGTCACCGACATCGAGAAGATGTACCGCCAAATCCTCGTACATCCTGAGGACTGCCGTCTCCAAACAATCTTGTGGCGTCACAACAAGACGGACGAGATCGGAGAGTACGAGCTGCAGACGGTGACCTACGGCATGGCGTGTGCACCGTTCCTGGCCATCCGAACTCTGCAACAACTTTGTGCGGACGAGGGAGCGCAGTTTCCTCAAGGTGCCACAGTACTTCGGCTTGATTGCTACGTCGACGACGTGGTCACCGGCGCGGACAACCTCGACGATGCCGTCAACCTCCAGACGGAGCTGCGCAACCTCTGCATGGCGGGCGGATTTCCACTGAGGAAGTGGGCCTCGAACCATCCAGAGGTCCTCACAGGAGTCCCACAGGAGCATCGGCTGCAGCAAGGACCACATTCCTGGGAAGGAGAGAGCCATTCGACATTGGGCCTGCGATGGCGTCCTCAAGATGACCGGTTTGCCTTCGCAATACATCCTCGGCCAGTCAGCAAATTCACGAAGCGACGAGTCCTCTCCGAAACTGCACGCCTATTCGACCCGATGGGCTGGCTCGCGCCTGTCGTCATTCGGGCGAAGATCCTAATCCAAAGCACCTGGCTTCAGCAACTTGATTGGGACGCTCCACTGCCGGCCAAGGATGCTCGACATTGGCAACAGCTGTTGGATCAGTTGCCGCTGCTCAGGCACATACGCGTGAATCGCTGGCTCAGCACCGACAACGATCACTCGAGGTTGCAGCTCCACGGTTTTGCTGATGCTTCCGAACGAGGATACGCCGCAGTAGTCTACCTCCGCACCACTGAAAGGGGAAAACCGTCAATTAATCTACTCATGGCGAAATCCAAGGTCGCACCCGTCAAGCAGGTTTCGTTGCCGCGACTTGAGTTGTGCGCTGCTAGCCTACTCACCACGCTCACGCTGCATGTCCGCGACATTCTCGGCTTGGCAACTACTCCAGTATATCTGTGGTCCGATTCCCAGGTCACGCTTCATTGGATCCAGGGACACGCCACTCGCTGGAAAACTTTCGTCGCCAACCGGGTAGCTCATATCCAGACACAGCTCCCGGACGCTCGATGGAGACACGTAGCCGGGAAGAATAATCCTGCAGACTGCGCATCGAGAGGAATTACTCCTGGAGAATTAATCAACCACGCATTATGGTGGACTGGACCTACCTGGTTGGCACTGGACGAGACAGCATGGCCCAGCTCAGAGGTCCACATCGCAGAGGATGACCTTCCTGAACAGCGCACCACCAGCCTGATGACCAAGGGCTCCGTCGTCGTCGAACCGGACATCCTTCTTCGGTTCTCTGCGCTTCATCGGCTGCTACGCGTTACGGCTTGGTGTCGTCGATGGCTCAACGTGGCGAGCCGGGAGGTCACACCTGGTTGTCCACTACACCCCGACGAGCTGGACGCCGCCCTACTCCAGTGGCTTCGAGTAGTACAGGCGCTCCACTTCCCGGACGAGATAGCTGCTGCCACCGCAGGACGCTCCGGCCCACCACGCAGTTCACTGATCAAGCTGAATCCGTTCATCGACGACCAAGGTGTACTGCGCGTTGGAGGACGTCTCAAACACGCACTGCTGCCCTACGACGAGAAGCACCCGGTGATCATACCGCCGGCCTCCTGGATGACGCGACTGCTGATCGAGTCCTGCCATCGTCGCTCTCTGCACGGCGGCGTCCAGATGACACTCGGTCTGCTTCGCCTTCGATTCTGGGTACCACGCGGAAGGACCGTCGTCAAGCAGCAACTGCATCGGTGCGTCACTTGCACTCGCTGGCGCGCTGCCACGCCACAGCCTCCAATGGGCCACCTTCCTCGGGACCGAGTGACGCCAACTCGACCTTTCTTGAGCACTGGACTGGACTACGCGGGACCAATTTCCATCCGGACCAGCAAAGGACGCGGACACCGCTCACAGAAAGGATACATCGCGGTCTTCGTCTGCTTTTGGTCGAAGGCCATCCACCTCGAGGTCGTCTCGGATTACAGCTCCGAGGCCTTCATCGCCGCCTTACGCCGCTTCGTCTCTCGCAGAGGACTGTGTACGGACGTCTACAGCGACTGCGGCACAACATTCGTTGGCGCCGATCGCACCCTGCGGGAGCTCTTCAAGGCGTCGACCTCCGAGGGCCTTCACATCGCCCGCGCCGCCAACACTCAAGGGATCCGCTGGCATTTTAATCCGCCAGCGGCCCCTCACTTCGGTGGTCTTTGGGAGGCTGCCGTGAAATCCACGAAATTTCACCTCCGCCGAGTAATCGGCGACACCACGCTCACTTTTGAGGAGCTTAGCACACTCCTCACACAAATCGAGGCGTGTCTTAATTCTCGTCCGTTGCAGGCTCTGTCAGACGATCCAGACGACACTTCAGCACTCACTCCAGGGCACTTCATCATCGGCGCGCCTCTATTAGCTATACCTGAGCCGTCACGGATCGGACAATCATCATCCACGCTGTCACGCTGGCATCACCTGCAGCTGATGCGAGACCATTTTTGGCAGCGGTGGTCGGCTGAGTACGTGCACGGGCTCAACCCCCGCACCAAATGGGTCAAGGCCGAGGCCGCACCTCACGTCGGGGACCTTTGCATCATCCGCTCGGAGCTCACCCCTCCGACTCGATGGCCTCTTGCAAGGATCACGAGACTGCATCCCGGGGACGACGGTGTCGTCCGCGTGGTCTCAGTACGCACCGCCACATCCGAATTCGTACGCCCGATCGTTAAATTGGTCATGCTCCCGGGCGCGGATCGTATTCCGGACACGAATAACGCGGACACGCCGTCCGCCGGCACGTAACACATCACTCATCAACGTTCGACACTCATTCACGAGATTTATCACATCATGCACTGTATCATTTGTCACACCTCATTCTCATCATGCACCACCGCACTTGCAATTGTTCCATAATCACCACACTGCACTACACGTTCGTCATTTCACATCAAACACACACTCGTTACTGTCTCAGCTGATCATCACATTCCACGCGATCACCACGTGTTTCCGCGGCTCAGCTGATCGATTCAAATTACACGCGATCATCACGTGAATCTCGCCGCGCCGGCGCGCCTGCCCCACCATCGATCACTATCGACTTGCGATTCCGCGACCGAAATACCACAAACATGTTGTCACTGCGCGACAAGGCGGGCGGGAATGTTTGAAACGCATAATAGAAAACTACATGTGTAATAAAATATTATATCTTAAATAGAATATTCTAGAATATTCGCTTCCGATCGCAAATCAACAGGCATATCGTTTTTATGTTTTTTTTTTTTGGAAAACATATCGCGACACAAATTATCCTGTCGTACAAAAACACGCTCGAAATATAAACAATTAACGGTGTCGCAACCGTTCCGCCGAATAATTATATTTTATTGAGCATGCGCGGCTTCTCACGGGCGCCTCGTTTCGCCAATAATCATCGTGATCGCCAGCTCGCGCATGCTTTCTAACAGCCGTTGTTCTGTCAATTTTGACAGCGGCCAATTACGCGTAATACGCTCAGGTCACCTCGCGCAACTTTAAAAAGACGCAAAATTATTGGCGCTTCACACGAAGGTGGGTTCCGCTCCGGAAATTATAAAAGAGGAGCTCACACCCCGCTTGTGAGCTTTATCGCTTTTCCGTCGTGAAAACATATCGCAAACCGCTTATCAGATACACCGCAAAATTCGTTGACGACCGCCGCTATTCCGCACTTTGATTTTGATTCCGATTTCACTGTAAAATAATTAAAGTTTTGTAATAAGTTTGTTATAGTATTTTGTCAATACGTGTGTGATATTATTAAAGTCCTTGTTTTACAAAAAAGTGACTCATCCTTTCGTGCAGCGCGATCCTTTGCTCACGCAGCGCGTTCGTGAACATTTGTCAAGTTTTATGGTTCAATGCAATGAATTTGCAAAGACTTTCAAGATGATGCGTCAAGTTGAACAAGATCTTAATCCAATAGGCAATAAAAATATAATATGTGATATAATAAAAGGCCAACTTAACGAGCTTATATGCTATTAATTGAAAAATTTTTTTATTAATTTACGTCATAATATACAAAAGTTAAGATAAACGTTTCGACTGTACGACAGTCTTTTTCAATATCCTAATAATATGTCAAAAAATTAATTTAGTCATATCGACCTTATTATAAATACAACATTTATGAGATTATATGACAAACGCAGTACAAAATTCATGTTTGTTGGCATGAGTTAGAGCGTCAGATGCTGTTATATTATGTAACGACACTGTGAACAAATTAATATATCCGCTCAAATATTACATTTAGATTTTTAATAAATAGTATTAACTTACTTTTTTGTCACGAACATAACACTTTTTTTAAAAAAATTATTTCTTTTTACTTAACATAATCACAATGTGTACTTTTTTAAAAAACAAATCGATATCTGTATCTTACAATGTCGGCGCGCTGTATATATACCCAATTTTTAAGATGACGTAGACAATTTTTTAGAATATCAAAATAAGAACCGTCAAGACGCTCGGTGTCCTTTTTTAGGTTGATACTGTTGTTTTCTTCTTTAATATATATCATTTCTGATATCAACCTTTTATAATAATTCTTTTCATAATCTAGGATTTTTGTGTCGTTCCAATTGAAATTGTGTGTAAATTTTACAATATGATCAGAAACCACCGAGTGCCTTGCTGAATCTAATCTAATATTATTTTTATGTTCATTTACTCTTGTACCTAATTGTCTTTTCGTCTGTCCTACATATGTAGCATCACAATTATTACACGAAATCTTATATATGACCCCCGAATTATTTTGGAGCTTATCTCTGTCTTTTTGCGTTTTTATGACTCTGTTTAATTTCTTTAGACATCTGTATCCTACTGTTATATTTGATTTCTTTAATTCTGATGCTACTAGTTCCGAGATTCTTTCAATATAAGGTATCGCTATGAATTTTTTATTATTGTCATTATTTATGATTTCGTTATTTATATCTTGAGTCATTTCTTTGTTTAATCTATTAACAATAAGGAACTTCAGTCTATTATTGATTTCTGAGAAAATGAGATCAAGAGGATAACTATTGCTCAATAAAATCTCTATGATTAATGTTAAATTTTTACTATGAAAACGGGGATGTGATAATAATATTGACCGGTCTACTAAATTATATATTACACTTTTTTTGTGGCATATAGGATGATTTGAATGATATGAGAGTGTTCTACCCGAAAATGTTTTTTTCTGAAACCAATCTATGTATATTATGTTATTTATAATTTTGAGTGAGATATCTAAAAAACTTATGCTACGGTTATCCTCTCTTTCTATTGTGAATTTTAATCTATCGTGACAATCATTAAATTTTTCTACTAGATATGTGACTTGATCTTCCGGCAAGCAAAGCAAGATATCATCGACGTAGCGATAGTAAAACCTTATATTAACCTTTATAGTTTCAAGAATCCTAGTTTCTATATCTTGCATGACAATATCCGCAATAATTGGAGATAAAGGCGATCCCATCGGAGTTCCATGTATTTGTTTATAGATCGTTTCGTTGAATGTGAAGTACGTTGAAGTCAAAATGAATTTAATTACATTAACAAACTCATTTTTGTCTATTGATGTGTGGTTTTCAATGTAATGCCATCTATTATTTATGCTGTCTATTGCAAGGTCCACAGGAACATTTGTGAACAACGATATCACATCCAAAGATACGATTGTTTCATTATTATTTAATTTAAGATCAGACAATGCGTTGCACAATTCAAAACTATTGTTAACATGACTTTTCCTTTTGGGTAAACTTGTCACTAAAATGTTGTGTAAATATGCAGCTAAATGATGTAGTGCTGTATTGACCGACGATACTATTACTCTGAATGGAACATTTTCCTTGTGAATTTTGGGCAAGCCATATGCTTTAGGAAGCACTGAATCACTGGAACTTAAACAATAATAGTCTTTTTTTGTGATCCATTCATTTTTTAACCATTGTTTTAAATTTTTGTTAAGGTCTTTTTCTATTTTTATTATTGGATTGTTTTTGATTGTCATATAATTATCTTTGTCATTTAATAATTCTTCAACTTTGTCTATATAAAATTCTTTGGTCATTGCTACGGTCGTGTTTCCCTTGTCTGCTCTTGTGAAAATGATGCTGGGATTTTGTTTACAAAATGTCATGGTTTTTTTGTACATAAAAGTAAGTTTGTCATTAATTATGTCTTTCCTAGTATTGTTGTTTAAAAAAACAAAGAACTGTGGAATAGCTATGTTTCTTATTGTCGTGAGATTAGTTATGTTATTCGAATTGCTTTCTATGTAATAAAAATATAAATTTAATGTTGTCCTTTCGAAACGATCCTCAACATGATCAAAGAAAATATAATGCTCCACAAGCTAATGAAATAGCTGTGGTCTTTCAGAATGTAGATGGTGAGCCTCCATTTGAAAGAGACATTCGGATTTATAATAAAAATTCAAACGATGTTCAACAAATATCAATTCTGGACAAAAAGTGTGACCCAATGTGTTATCCTTTGTTATATCCATATGGTAACGATGGATGGCATTCAGAAATGAAATCTTATAATTCTAAATATTCAGAATTTAAAGTAACTCAAATGGATTATTATGCTCATCTGCTGGCACCAAGAGCCGAATTTAGCCAATTTAAAAGAGCAGGCAAATTGAGATGTCAATTTATACTTGATGCCTATATGAAAACTGAAGCCAATAGACTTAATTATATTAAATTAAATCAACCTCAATTAAGAGCAGAACTTTATTCAGGATTAATGGATCACCTTGATAATCGAGCACAAAATGAGGGAATTACAGTTGGTGTACCTGTAATATTACCATCTTCATTTATGGGCAGTCCAAGGAACATGCAAGAAAGATACCAAGATGCCATGTCTTTGGTAAGAAAGTATGGTAAACCAGACATTTTTCTAACCATGACTTGCAATCCTCAATGTCCTGAAATTAAGGATAATCTTGATGGATGTCAAATAGAGTTTCGACCTGATTTAGTCGCTAAAACATTTAATTTGGATGTCAAAGAGATTTTAAAGGATTTAATTCAAAATAAAATTTTTGGAAATATTATAGCTTATGCAGGTGTGATTGAATTTCAAAAAAGAGGACTTCCACATTTGCATTTACTTGCAATGTTGAGCGATGAAGATAAGCCCCGACTTCAAGAAGTCATTGATATGATGGTATGGGCTGAAATTCCTAATGAAGAAAAATATTCAGAACTTAATAAAAAAGTTTTGAAACACATGATTCACGGTCCATGTGGAGATCCCTCGAGGAGATATCCTTGCACTGGGGACGATGGAAAATGTTCAAAAGGATTTCCAAAAGAATTTAGTGATAAAACTAATGCTAATGTAAATGGATATCCCATCTATCAACGTAGGGATATTGGAATAAAATACATTGTTAGAAATAAAGAAGTGGATAATCGATGGGTGGTGCCGTATTCACCATATTTAATCATGAAATATAATCGACATATTAATTTAGAAATATGTTCATCAGTGAAGAGCGTAAAATATCTATATAAATATATTCATAAAGGATTTGATTGTGCTGCAATTGAAGTGCAAGCACGAGATGGTACAAGATTCATTAGAATAGATGAGGTTAACTCATTCATGGATGCAAGATATGTTAGTGCTCCAGAAGCAATGTGGAGACTTAATGGATATGATCTGTTCATGAAATCTCATACAGTAATAAGATTGGCAGTTCATTTGCCTGATCGCCAAATGGTTTATTTTCGAGC